TATGAAACATTCATAGTTATATCAAGAGCCACCGATTCAGTCAGGACTAAACATTTAACATGTCGAGTTCCATTACATCGTGACACCCAGTGGGGCTTCAGATCAGGGAACATGTCGAGTTCCATTACATCGTGACATTCAGTGGGGCTTCAGGTCAGGGAACATGTCGAGTTCCATTACATCGTGACACCTAGTGGGGCTTCAGATCAGGGAACATGTCTTGCAGCTTTTTTAAAATTCATGTATTTTCTTTAAATATTTTGTTTTAAAAATATATCTGCTAAATGGCCATTTCTAGATCGCTATGAGAGTGTAGACTTTTCTCTCACATATTTCTGCCTATCTATGACATGGTCCAGTTACAGAACTTTACAGCTGTGTCAGTTTGTACAAGAATAACACGACAACAGTATTTTCGTCATTTTAATTTACAATGCGCAATGGATAGCTAAATGGTAATTTATCCATCATTGCGTGACATCATAATCTGAAGTCTTGGACGCAGAGGTCTTTAATCAACATGTCCTAACTCGCTGACTTAACTTTAATGGCCCCCAGCTTTTGAGCCAGTGGTCAGGTGATGAAATGGATTCGTCAGTCCAGCAAGAGGGATATTTTTTTTTGGGGGGGGGCGGGGTACGGGGTGGGGGAACCCCATTTGTCAAAAATAATAAACGTCACCGTCTCTAGTGATAACGAGTTTGAAGTTTGAGCCATAGATCTTTATAGAATCAAATCAGAAATAATCCACCGTAGAAAGTTACTGTGTTCAGTGTAACGCAACATGTTAAGTTCCAGTGGCATAAGGAGGTGGTGCGGATGATGTGGTCTGCCCCTTGCGCCACTTTTTTCCTTAGCCTGAGAATGCAGCATTTTCAACAAACTGCTGAGCTTTTTTTCGCAGAAGGGTGGCGGCTATTTTCAAATATCTATTCCGTTTCAACTCGTCTTCGAAAGTAAGTCTTTAAACAAATATTTTTTTTCAAATATTTAGATTAATAGTAGCAGATCAAAATTGATAGAAGCAATTTCTGAGCAGTCCCAGAAATGGTGTGACGTTCTAATGGGTACGTCACATCCCACTTCCGGTGTGAAGCTCTTGATTCTAGTCAACCGGCGTTCAAATGGCGTGAAGGTTTCCTTTTTGTCAGGCGCAGACCGTCCTTCTAACGCACTGGTTCTCAAAAGGGGTGGTGGGATTCCAAGGAGTTGGGAGAGGGGGGTGGGGCGCTGAAATGCTCAGTAGATTTAGCTGGCCCTGGGACTACATAAAGGGACGGTGGTGGATTATATCAGGTTTTTTTGGTTTTTTTAATTAAAATTTTATCAACTTTGAAAAAAATGATGTGACTTATCGGATCATTAATAGCAACATAAGGGGGTCTTGAGTCCAACGGCACAAGGGGCCATTGACAACTATAAATAGTTACTTAGTGGGGCCACCCCCTTCCGGGGCCCCCAACCTACACTCCATGCTTAGGGCCCCCAAACTTCTAAGAACGGCTCTGCGTTAACCTTGGACGGTGACTCATCTAAGAGAAGGCAAACTCGGAATTCAAGCCCGGAGATGGATTCCCGTAGGCGGATAACATTGACACAATGAATATTCCGGCAACTCCTGCGACGCTAATGGTGTCAAGCTGTATCATCCACACATGATGTTCCCTTGGGTTATCTAGGTGCGTGGAGAAAGGCGATGTGTTGTCTATGGAGCCCGCTTATCTTCCTAAAGAAAAATCCCAGGCCTTGTGATTTCGACTTGCGAAGTCTACACCATCGTCTCATTGTGACGGGTGGATGCGCGTAAAAAAATACAAACACCAAGTTTAGGCTGTCACCGTGGTTCTATTCAATTTCTTAAAGAGGAATCTTAATATTTTTACTTTTTTTGGTTCAATCATCTCCAACATCTATTGAATTTCAAAGTCTATTATATAAGTCTATTATAGAAGCTTTTGTGGAGTTTTTAAAACACTACTTCGTCTCTCGGTGTTGATTGACTCCAAAGTCATCAGACACGACATAAATATTTGCAGATTTCAAAGAAATTCATTTACATTTTCTTGGAGTTGACGTCAATCATATTAAAAGCAAGTGAATGAACTTCAATAAACTCTTATAAATTGACCCTACTCATTAAGGGGATATGACCTTCTATTAAGTAAAAAAACTGTGGATGGGTAAATGGCCATCTGTTAAAGACTATCTGTACCTGCCCAGCGAGGGTTTGGGGTGGGGTGGGGTGGGGGTGGAATAACCTTGTTGAAGACTATATGTATCTCGTGTCAAAAAACGATGTTCCGCTACAGCACATATGATGCAGCCTGGGGGGGGGAAGGAGTGGAGTATGACCACTGTTAATAAATATTCAACAATTCGCAGTAGTCTTTGTTATACAGTACAGTCTATCTTTTTCTGTACCCCGTGTGAAAGCAGCTGTGGCTCTCTCTGGGACTCAAATGTCAAGAAAAAAACACATTTGGTTGTAAGGATGGACAAAAAGCATCACATTTGTTGGAGTGTTAAATACCAGGATTGAAATTGTTACAACTTCCACTTTGCTGAGATGTTACATAGTTTTTGTTTGTATATTTGGATAGTCATTGTGGATTGAGCTGATGAAGAGGCATAGTTTGTGTTTGTATATTTGGATAGTCATTGTGGATTGAGCTGATGAAGAGGCATAGTTTTCGTTAGTATATTTGGGATAGTCATTGTGGATTGAGCTGATGAAGAGAAAACTCTATCCTGTTAATCCACAGAGCCATGACTTTGCTATTTTGACACGAACAGTTAATCAGTATGGACTGACTTCCAAGTCTGTTTTATGTATCTACACAATATTCTATCATTCTTGATCAACCACAGGATCTGTTGTCTCAAATGCTGTGAGCTGAACAGAGTCTGTTAACCTTATCCATAGTATTGAACAGTTAATAGGAAGACCTATGCTTCCCTATCATTTTCTATATAATCCTATCTAATCTTATCCTTTCCGCATTGTATTTACAGGATGTTGTGTTATCCCTGATAGAGAAATTAAACATAACCTGCAGTCATTATTTCTGTCTGATGCTGCAGAACATGAAGAACAATGTGCCAGGTCAGATGATTCTGTTAGAGGAGAAGGAGACACTGTCTGATGTAAGCAGCCCTGGTTGCTAATGGTAGATTTATGTATTGGCAAATGTAAGAAAGTCACTAGATGTGTAATCAAATTACTAGATGCGCATTTAAATTTAAACAAATACATTAAAGATGATGATTATAATGTTAATAAATATTTCTAGTTTTAATTCAGTGAAACGCAGAAACATATGGTGTAGTGAATTTCTCTAGGAAATTGACCTTTGCGTACACCTCACAGGTGCTCTGTGTCCACCCCCCCCCCCAAAAAAAAAATAACTTAACAAGTTAATTTTATTTAATAATATAGCTCTGTGCTTGGAATGTAACTTTCTCAATAAAATATGTAACTTTCTCTATAAAATATGTAACTTTCTCAATAAAATATGTAACTTTCTCAATAAAATATGTAACTTTCTCAATAAAATATGTAACTTTCTCAATAAAATATGTAACTTTCTCAATAAAATATGTAACTTTCTCAATAAGATATGTAACTTTCTCAATAAGATATGTAACTTTCTCAATAAAATATGTAAATTTTTCAATAAAATATGTAAATTTCTCAATAACAAATGTAAATTTCCCATAAAATCTGAAACTTTCTTAATAAAATCTGTCCGTGACTTTCAGCTGGCTGCCAGATCAGGAGCACGCCATTTCAGATGCTTATTTCGTGTGGCCTTTGTTCCCCATGATGCTTATGACTTGCTGAAAGAAGATCCAGTGGCCTTTGAATATTTCTATATGCAGGTAATTGAACTTTCTATTTCTACAGTTGGAGTTAGTGAAAAGTTAACACAATTTATTACAATAATTTGGTACAATTACCAGCCATTATTACAACTACTACCTACTAATAATAGCCCTTACTACAACACCTACTACCAATAATAGCTTTTACTGCAGCACTAATGTTACGCCCCCTATTGTGTTCAATGAATCTGAATAAACTCATGGTCTAAAGTCTAGGGGATTTGAAAAAGGGCTAACACTGGTAGATTTTAGAAACACTATTGGCTAAAATAAAGGCAATTAGTGCTCTATATAAATGTAGGCCTACTTTATTACATGGAATATAATGTGAACAAAGATACATAAAATCTACATATGAAGAAATGAATAAATGTCTAAAACTAACAATATCTAAATCTCACAGTAATATAAACAATACTATCACAAGTCTAAGTTCCTGGAATTACTATTTGTGATAACTATTGAATGGCCCTATCTATTACTTAGCAAATGCAATGGAAAGCTAGTTACGCATCGATATGCTCATCTTGTCTCTCTCTAAATCTAACTGTAGGGGAGTACTTATACTGAAACGTTTCGCGTGACTACACCTCAAATGTAGATCAACATTTGCTTAATAGATGTTGGTCCGGCCGTTATAAGGTTAATGACGTGTTACCGTTCCTGGAAGGTGATAAGCTGATACGAAATTAATACAATGGCCCTACCTTGTAACACCAACTAACAATAATATGAGCAAAATTCATTTATTTAATGGAGGGGGGACATCCATCAATGTAAAGCTTATGGCTGCAGGTGTTGCAGTTAATGTCATTGCAGAAAGAAAAATGAATAGTTTGTAAAATGAAAATACTTGACCTGTAGAACCTGTCGTGATCGTGAAATGTTTACTGTGGCTGCCATTAAAAATCTTACATGTCTGCCTATGGTCATTGTGCACCCCTGAGTCTCAGTGTCAGAATCATTAAGTGTTGACAACTTGGCTGTCTAAAAGAAATAAAGATTTGCTGGAGACTGTAGAGACTCCATTTTTTCCAGTGTTTATTTATAAGCTACCAAACTTTCTACTCCTTGGCCAGTGCTGCAATGATGTGGTCCATGAGAGACTGACCTCTGACATGAAGTATGACACTGCCCTGAGGCTAGCTGCCCTGCACATCCAACAGCATGCAGTCAGCAACCACTTTGTTGGCAAGATCTCAATCAAGGCAATAGAGTAGGTCATAATCTCAGTATGTTCCAACATCTTCAGCATTCATTAGTGTCAAACATTATTATTATCCAACAGGCATTATTATCCATCAAAATCTGTCTATATTCATTTAGCATCTTGTCATTAAATACCTTTTTGCTATACAGATTATATAAACAATGCCATAAACAAGTGAGCCATCTCATCACAACAGCTGAATCCTCAGATAAGCCCACCTAATCCAACAGATTTCATTTGTTCTAATGATTCTAAGCAGATCCTAGATATATTTTCAATAACCACCAAGCACTTAAAAATCCTGTAATCATAATCCACCAACATGATCCTCTTATAATCACCAAACACCTCATAACGTCCATCTCTTCTCCCCCCTCCCTCCCCCAGGAAAGCCTCCGGCCTGGACAAGTTTGTGGCCCACAGCCTGACCGAGAACATGAAGAGCAAAGATCTGCGTAAGATGCTGGCCCAGTACATGAAGCTGAACCAAAGTCTGACCGCACCAGGGCAGAAACAGTTGACCGCCCTTCAAGCTAAACTCCATTACATGAAAATAGTATCAGAGTTGAAAACTTTTGGCTGCCGTGTGTTCATGGTAACACTTCTGGTAGGTAATAGATACAACGGATAACTCTCATTGAACTGACATCTTCCCAACCTATCGATTTTACTAGTCTTTTTCACACTAACGCTCTTTATGCAAAGACCAACTAAGGAAGACTTGGAAATTTTTTAGCATGGCTTCAGGCCAAAGGCCACATGCCCAAATGACTACTGGATGTGAATGATCATGAGATGACAACTAGTCTATTTCAGCAATCAAATTTTAAGTTAAATTTCTGTTTATCATGTTTTCTTAGATATGTCGACAATGTTCGAGCAGCGGTCATCACAACAACACTTCAGGTGACAAAATCATATTTGTGAACTTTAAAAAATTAGAAATGAATATTCATCCTGAACTTCTTTGTGTTGTTAGGATCAGAAGTCTGAAGCTATGGTGCTTGTAGGTCCAAAGGCTGGAGTCAGTGTGGTCACCAACATCAAGTCTTATACAGTGAGTGAAAGCAAACATTGTGCCAATAGATAAGAATGTAAGGATTTGTAGCACTGTTATGTCTTGACTCTTGAACTTTCCTTGTGCTTGTTTCAAAGGTGAAAGCATAGGAAGAGATGCAATACACAAGGACTACAGCACAGTCCTTAATTGTTTCTTCCTGTAAAAGTTATGTAATTGATTCTTGACTGAGATAGTGTTTGATTCATTTGGTTAATATTTTCCTTATGTTACTTCAATTCTCTGGGTGCAGGTTCCTATTAAACCTGGTGCAGCTTTGTATTGGAGATTAATTAGACATGAAAAATTTGTGTCAATATAGCAAAATATGTTAAGCTTTAATAATTAAATAATACACAAGTAAACATTTCGACACATGGCTTCATCAGTATAAGAACAAAACATTTAAATAAGTATACATTAAATTTACATAATATATATATATATACATGTATCCTACCTAAAAAATAAAGAGAGAGAAAATAGGAGTGCGCACAAAACCCAGACAAAGTAAAGAAGAATAGAAAGGAAGTGATTTGAAGTAAAATGTAAGAAACCAAACAGGAAAAAGACATGGCAGCTATGTAAAATTGTAGATTTGATTTATACCAAATGGAGTCAACGTACTAAATCTTGTTGTTAATTTATTTTCCATATAAATCCTATCGGGTGTATTACTAATAAACTAGTAAACTTTATCGCAGTCCCACAGTCTTATAATTAGTTAATTTATATTTAAGACAGGCATACGAAACATAACCATTAATTACAAAACTACTTTTATATGTCCCACAAGACTCAATCACTTTAATTGTTAATTTTAACTTGTTTCCCCATGTGTTTATACTATGATACACTTGTTCTATTCAACTAACACAAATTTTGTTTATCCTACACAGCTGACCCAGTTGGCAGACTATCATCAGATTGAGCTGATTAATGTGACAAAAGATGGAGAAAACATGCAGCGTGTTGACTTGAAAGTCAAGGTCAACGGACTGACAGAGGTGAGAAAAGGGCAGGTCAAATAGAGAAGAGTTTTTGTTTTGTGAGCTGAAATTGTGAACTTCTTCCCATAAAGTTCATGATGAAATTAAATGTGCGCAATAAGGTCTAATTATCCCATATCTTTATTTTTGAAGGATTCCTCACAGTTCTTGCTATAATAGTTTCATTAGGTCCTGTCTCTCTTTTCTCAATAAAACTTTTCCATGACACGAGTTTCTTCTTACTATTTTAATTCTATTTATTTTAACAATTTTCCTTGTCCAGTTTTGTTTGCTGAAGAAGGAGTTTGGACTTTAATTTAATGAATTTTATTGTTTATGTTTTTTCTCAATTCAAGCTCTAACACACCTTGGTCTCTATCAAGATTTAGCACACCTGGTCTCTATCAAGCTTTAACACATCTTGGCCTCTATCAATCTAAAAGATATCTTGGTCTCTATCATTCTATAACACACCTTGGTTTCTATCGACCTATAACCCACCTTGGTCTCTATCAACCTAAAACGCAACTTGGTCTTTATCAAGCTTTAGCACACCTTAGTCTCTAACAAGCCTCAAAACACCTTGGTCTCTTCTGTAGCCATTTTTCCAGCTTGATCCTAATCTTCCCTTACATCCCTGGTTCCAGGGAGTCTCAGAGGGTTTTCTGTGGGCTGGCTGGCTAAAACAAAGAAATAAAACAAAGAATTTTCAATTTTAATCTGTCTCTATAAAGTTTGAATGATTTCATAACACTTGCATGCCTCTGTTTTTGATGTGATTTCTTTTACCATATTAAATTATTTTAAATGTATGGGTTTCACCAGTCATTTGCATCTTTAAAATGGGGTCAGGGCTAAAAAAATGTTGGGAACCTGTTCCCTCTATCATCTTCTAACATCCTAGTTAATATTATTTGTTTCAGACTATTGGACTTGGCCTGCTGACAGAAGATGCACAAAACTTCGTTCTGATGGTGGAGGGATATTACCACATTTTTGTGGACAGAACCAAGCAGCTTGTGGAAAGGACTGTTGGGAAAAATACTTCTGACCCTGATGGTTAGTTGTGACGCTATTTATACTATTATTAGTTTGGTTTCTTGAGATGAGTTTCTTTTAGATGAGTTTCTGTTATATGAGTTTCTGTTATATGAGTTTCTGTTAGATGAGTTTCTTTAGATGAGTTTCTTAAGATGACTTTCTTAAGATGAGTTCCTTATGAAGAGTTTCTTATGAGTTTTTGTTTAGATAAGTTATTTAGATGAGTTTCTTTAGATAAGTTTAGATGATCCAATACAGTTTCACATATGAAAATGAATGTGTTCCCTGAAAACTTTTCCTGAAGATTACATACCTGGTTATTAAACATTGAGATCCCATTTCAGTGATACTTCAATAGATGAATAGATCTATTTCAGTTTCACCTTCAGTGATCCCCCCTGTTAGGATAATTTAATTTGCTCCTTGCAATACATTTCCTGTTTTCTAGTTTAAAAAAATATATATTTAATTTAAAAAATGAAGGTAAAAAAACAATCAACTTTGCTTTGTTCAGCAAGATAAAACATAATTGATTGAAGCTAACCTTAAATGGTTTAAAATAATGTTTTGATTTGACTTGTTTCAGTGCCATCATACCATGACCAGCACCATGTCCTACCCTCGCCATGGGCCTATCCTGAGGATTTGGTCTCAGAAGTTGTGGGCTCTGATGCCAGAGGTGATGATGACCGGGTCATTGACCTTTCAAAAGGTCCACCCAAGTACCAGGAAGAAGAGAATGGTGTCATTAAGTTCAAGCTTGAAAATGGTGCCAAGGTGTGTTATAGAATGGAGAATCATGGTGTTGTATAACTAATCTACATCTTCAAAGCTCTAAGCTAGAGTTTAATTTTTACACTAATAATTTCAAATGCCCTTAAAATGATTTTCTTGAGTAATTTTTTTAAAATGCAGATCTATAGGCATGAAACAATATATTTTATTATTGAGCATGTATCTGATCCATTGACATATTATAACTGTAGCCTAAAAGTTTTTGTTTGTCCAATACTTCTTTAATGCTTCTTTGTGAGGGGTTAGGACTAAATTTTGATGATAATAGAAAAAGATAACATTTTTATTGATATTAAAATAAATTTAAAACATTTCCATACTAGGGGCCAAAACAAATCTAACAGAAATATTGGCCTGTCAATTAGATTAAATACAGGTGCTCCTGTCAACTAACATTTATTTATTTCAAACTGTAGACTGATGCATCATTGGAGCCATTGGCAGCAACATTTACCCACACCAGCACAGACCCACTTCCATCTGCCCTGAAGCCTCCAGTTTCATCAGAAAACACCAGCCTCAGTGGCAACACACCCTCGTTTGAAGAAGATGTCACTTCATTTGTCAGAACCGGCACTGGTGAGGTCTCTCACCCTTTGGCCTCACAAACCATGGCCGGGGCATTCTCACCCCTAGGCTCCAGCACTGATCTCACCAACAAACCCCCATCGCCAATCTCCCTTGTCACATTCCAGTCCAGTCCTCTTGGTCGGAGGGGCCAGCCTGTGCTTGTCGCCCAGTCAGAGACAAAGTTTGGCTCCAGCTCAAATTCCTCTGTGTATAATGGAACCCTGCCTGATGGCAATCAGTTTCTTAAAGGTTCTTCCCCATTGGTGCTCGAGAACCACCACAGCAGTGATAGCAGTCTGTTAGACAGTGAAGCCAGTGAGAGGCAGGCACTGCTGCCAGACAGCCCCAGCAGGAGATCCCAGTCACCTTCATCCTACATAGTGCATACAAATTCATTATTGTCGGGGCCAAGGTTGAATGATGGCCTTGACCCTGAGAGTGATGACACAGACAGCTGCGGAACTCCTGGAGGAAGTCCAGCCAAGGGGAGAATACTCAGCAGAAATATGTCTCTAGAATCAGGTACAATATTTCTTTTACATTTCATAGAATGTTTAGTTATGCTTGCTTTATTATTGGCCTGTCACACACATGTTTCCTGCTAGATCAACTTTGGCCTGTCACACACATGGTTCCTGATAGATCAACTTTGGCCTGTCACACACATGGTTCCTGACAGATCAACTTTGACCTGTCACACACATGGTTCCTGATAGATCAACTTTATCTCTTCTTTTGCCCAATTTTTTTGTTAAAGTTGCCGTAAAAAAACCTCTTAAATACATCAAAAACAGTTAGAAATAAATTAAAATGACTGAAAAATTTAATTCTTGTGAGTCAGTCTGGTTATAAAATGATATAAGTGTAGTAATTTGAAAACAACAGATAACCAGAACATTGATGATAATAATATTGTTGATGATCATTAACTGGACGGGTCATTATTTTCAGGTCAGCAAAGTTTTGGCCTTCACAGTCCTGACGTGGTCCCTGGAGCTGATGTTGAATTTAATGGTTTGGATGAGGGACAATCCAATGGCATTGTGGGAGCATTAAACTCTTTGTACAAAAATGAGACGTACAAGTCCCCGAGGGTGTATTATGACCCGGATATCATTGGTAAGCTCTGAGCTGGATGGTATTTATAAACTTTGACCCAGATAGCATTGGTAAGCTCTGAACTAGATGGTATTTATAAACTCTGACCCAGATAGCATTGGTAAGCTCTGAGCTGGATGGTATTTATAAACTCGGTAAGCTCTGAGCTGGATGGTATTTATAAACACTGACCCAGATAGCATTGGTGAGCTCTGAGCTGGATGGTATTTATAAACACTGACCTAGATAGCATTGGTGAGCTCTGAGCTGGATGGTATTTATAAACTCTGCCCCAGATAGCATTGGTAAGCTCTGAACTAGATGGTATTTATAAACTCTGACCCAGATAGCATTGGTAAGCTCTGAGCTGGATGGTATTTATAAACTCTGACCCAGATAGCGTTGGTAAGCTCTTTGCTGGATGGTATTTATATACTCGGTAAGCTCTGAGCTGGATGGAATTTATAAACACTGACCCAGATAGCATTGGTAAGCTCTGAGCTGGATGGTATTTATAAACTCTGACCCAGATAGCTTAATAAGCTTTGCATATTTATCATCACTGAACCTCAACATAGATATATGGATTATTACAGTATCAAATGTAGTACATTTATTTTTGGTAGGGTGAAGCCTTGCTATAACTCAATAGCCTGGGTCCATGAAATTGGATGTGGTGATAGTGGGGTCACGTTTAATGTGGTGTTTTACAATGTTTTGGGATTTTTGTTAAAGTAGGAAGATAGGTGATTAAAAAAAAACAGTTTTTTTTATATTCTTGTTTGTAACCTATGTGGTGTAGATTTGTGTCTGTGTTGTGGGAAAATATTTATTTATGTACTCTTTTTTTTTTTCCACATACTTTGAAAGAAATTTTTGTCGTGTTCCAGTAAATGTACAAAAATTGTGGGAGCTGTGCCACCATCCCCATTATATTCAAATTTGCCTTATAGTGGGGTTCTACAGTATCAAAGAAAGACAACAGGTGTCTGTATAATTAACACTATCTTCCTCAGACCTGACCAACTTCCCACCACCCGAGACACCTGACGATGACTCCATGTTAGATTTCACAGAGCTCTCCAATTTTCCACCTCCTGTGTTTTCCTCCAATCCATCATTCACAAACTCTTTGAAATATGAAACAGGTAATTTGTTCTGTAACTAAATATTAAATCTAGATAAGATAAATCAGGCAATATGGTCATTTTATTAATTTTTCAAAACACTATGTTTTCCCAACAATAAAACATTTATAATATAATCAAATGATTGATATTTCAATTTTTTTATCTGATTATATTCAAGGTGGCTACATATCTATTTCCATTTTTATATCTATACTCCACCCTGAGATGTCAAGCTTGTTGTGTGTCTGCAGGTTCACTGCCTAGACCATCCAGTAGACTCACTCGACTGGAGCGGTCAGCCAGCATTGGCAACTGTCCAGATTTTCTTGATGACGACATTGATGCTCTCATCGCCCAGTTTACTATTCCTCCCCCGCCATCATCGGTAGAGTCCAGATGTGTGACATCGGGAGGAGACGTCATCAAGCCAACAGAAGAGATAACTCAGGATGAGTTCACACACCTCATCATCCCTCCCCCCCCTGCAAGCTCCTTGTACAACATTTCGGCTCTGACCGATGGCAAGCCTGTGCCACATGCAAAGGCTAAGCATGGAAATGTTGGGTCACGGCATAAACGTTCCTCTTCATTAGACATCCAGTTCATGAAGAGAGCCGCAGAACAGCTGGATACCAAATCAAGGAGTAAATCTTTGGATGCCAATCAGAATAATATTGACAATGATCCAAAGGTGGCTCCACCTTCTGACCTTGACATCAAGGCCGCAGACGACAGTGTTGGAGACATCACTGGGGAGTCCCCAGCCACTGTCTCCCAGAAACTTTATTCACTGCTCCAGTCACTTCCCAACTTCTCCCCGGGGATTATCAGCAGCATTAATAGCAACAACGCAACAGCAAATAATGTACCTCGCATCTTTCGTAGTTCATCCATAGACATGGGCTCAGGCCAGCGGAGCCTTGCCTTCGCTCATCTTGGCAGCAAAAGGACTATAACCATGTTCAACTCTGTGGCCAGTTTTTCTAGTCAAACACCCCAACAGAATTTCTCCAGACCCCGTAGTCAGAGCTTTGATCCCACCGCTCAGGCCAATGCCAGCCGGATACAATCCAGTTCTGAATCTAGGTCACAGCGGCTCAGCTCTGGGCTCTCATCTTCCAATAACAATCTAGGGAGCACGGCCAGTGGCTCAGAAAGTTTTGCAACCCTAAAAGCCAAACTTAGAGACTACAGGGATTCCCTTTTAAACAGGAAATCTAGAAAATCAAGGAAAGAGAAAACCCCTGAGTTAACAGCACAGAACTCCGATACTGGAAGTAGCATGCCCAGTTCCTTAAACAAGCTGTTCAGCAGACGTGGATCTAAATCGGACCCACCCACTGCAAACACTGACAGCAATTGGGAGTTGAAAGAGGCCGGCTCCTCCCCTTCACCTCAAGGGGACCTGGTGCGTGAACCAGTAAATGATAAACGTGCTTCACTTGCCAAGGACGGCATTCCAGTGGTCAGGGACCCTTTGGGCCTGAGCAGACCCACATTGCGGCCTGTGACCAACTCCATTTTAAATCAAGTAAGTAGTCTATGCATTTGGAAAGTTAACCATCCGGGCTTCAGTGGTTTTGCTCATGAGTGTTTAAATCTTTCTTGAAAACTAGATCTGTCTGGTTTTATAGACCTGAAAGAACATCTAGATCTGTCTGGATGACTAGATCTGTTCAGATATCCAGATAGTTGAAGTCAAATACATTATTTAGGGTTGGCACACTGTTAGACATCAGGTTGTGTTTGAAATTTGGGAACAAAATCTTTCACCTCCTATATTTATTTATTTCAAAAAAATGTATCATACCTTCGAAATCCAATTGCAAGTGCAGATTCCTGAATTAAATTCATGTACAGTGCCATCCACTATTAACACATAGACAGCTTTAAAACCCAAAACTTTTCCCACTAAAAATCTTCTGTTTTTTAGTTTTACTTCTCTAGAACAGGGGTCCTCAAACTACAGCTCAACAGGGGTCGTTTTTGGCCATATGGCCACAGTATGGGTATGCAGGTAGCATTGACAAACATTGCAATGGATATTGACCATCTTTTTTTTAAGCCATACTCAGGACGGTAGCTACCATCAACATAGTAATGACTTTATTTGCTCTTGGTTTAGATTGTTTGGTTTTCCTGTTGTTTTTTTTTTACTACCTATATGCTCAGTGGACATAGGAATTCTTGCATTATATTTCCTAACAATAGTCTGGGTCCCACCCAACAATGTTTGGGGGACAGTAAACCGCCCCCCCCCCCCCCCCCCCCCCAAAAAAAGTTGGGGGGAAGAAAAACCCCCCCCCCCCCCCCCCCCGAAAGTTTCTAAGTGACAGTCAACCGGCCCCCTTATTAAAAATTTTGAGGACGCCGTGCATTAGAGCTATGAGTTTTTTTAACACTATGAAACATTAAAGGATATATGTTGTTTATCATGCCTTGTGTAGCTCATTTGATCAAGAGAGTGAATCCTCAACAACGTGAGTTAAAAAGTAAAAGTTTAGAGATAAGAAATTAAATTTTACATTTCAGGAGGATGAAAATAGCGGAGATAAGAGGAGTAATGTAGATAAAGTTGATGTTAATCTGGATAATGAAATAGAGGTAACACCTTTGATTTCCTGCATGGCAATGGCATATTACTGCATTACAGGATAATTGGTGCTTTATAAACACTGGGGCATCAGTGCATTATAAACACTGGGGCATCAGTGCATGATAAACACTGGGGCATCAGTGCATGATAAACAATGGGGCATTAGTGCATGACAAACACTGGGGCATCAGTGCATGATAAACACTGGGGCATTAGTGCATGACAAACACTGGGGCATCAGTGCATGACAAACACTGGGGCATCAGTGCATGACAAACACTGGGGCATCAGTGCATGATAAACACTGGGGCATTAGTGCATGACAAACACTGGGGCATCAGTGCATGATAAACACTGGGGCATTAGTGCATAACAAACACTGGAGCACCAGTGCATGACAAACACTGGAGCATCAGTGCATGATAAACACTGGGGCATTAGTGCATGATAAACACTGGGGCATCAGTGTATGATAAACACTGGGGCATTAATGCATGACAAACACTGGAGCATTAGTGCATGACAAACACTGGAGCATTAATGCATGATAAACACTGGGGCATCTGTGCATGATAAACACTGGGGCATTAGTGCATGACAAACACTGGGGCATTAGTGCATGACAAACACTGGGGCATTAGTGCATGATAAACACTTGGGCATGAGTGCAGGATAAACACTGGGGCATTAGTGCATGATAAACACTAGGGCATTAGTGCATGACAAACACTGGGGCATTAGTGCATGATAAACACTGGAGCATGAGTGCATGATAAACACTGGAGCATTAGTGCATGACAAACACTGGGGCATTAGTGCATGATAAACACTGAAGCATTAGTGCATGATAAACACTGGAGCAATAGTGCATGACAAACACTGGGGCATTAGTGCAAGATAAACACTGGGACATTAATGTATGACAAACACTGGGGCATTAGTGCATGATAAACACTGGGGCATCAGTGTATGATAAACACTGGGGCATTAATGCATGACAAACACTGGAGCATTAGTGCATGACAAACACTGGAACATTAGTGCATGACAAACACTGGGGCATTAGTGCATGATAACCACTTGGGCATGAGTGCAGGATAAACACTGGGGCATTAGTGCATGAAAAACACTGGGGCATTAGTGCATGACAAACACTGGGGCATTAGTGCATGATAAACACTGGAGCATTAGTGCATGACAAACACACGCGCATTAGTGCATGACAAACACTGGGGCATTAGTGCATGACAAACACTGGGGCATTAGTGCATGATAATTTTTGGGCATGAGTGTATGATAAACACTGGAGCATTAGTGCATGACAAACACTGGAACATTAGTGCATGACAAACACTGGGGCATTAGTGCATGATAAACACTTGGGCATCAGTGCATCACAAACACTGGGGCATCAGTGCATGACAAACACTGGGGCATCAGTGCATGATAAACACTGGGGCATTAGTGCATGACAAACACTGGGGTATTAGTGCATGACAAACACTGGGGCATTAGTGCATGATAAACACTTGGGCATGAATGCAGGATAAACACTGGGGCATTAGTGCATGATAAACACTGGGGCATTAGTGCATGACAAACACTGAGGCATTAGTGCATGATAAACACTGGAGCATTAGTGCATGATAAACACTGGAGCATTAGTGAGGAGCATTAGTGCATGACAAACACTGGGGCATTAGTGCATGACAAACACTGGGGCATTAGTGCATGATAAACACTTGGGCATGAGTGCAGGATAAACACTGGGGCATTAGTGCATGATAAACACTGGGGCATTAGTGCATGACAAACACTGGGGCATTAGTGCATGATAAACACTGGGGCATTAGTGCATGACAAACACTGGGCATTAGTGCATGATAAACACTGGGGCATTAATGCATGACAAACACCGGAGCATTAGTTCATGACAAACACTGGAGCATTAGTGTATGATAAACACTCGGGCATCAGTGCATGATAAACACTGGGGCATTAGTGCATGACAAACACTGGGGCATTAGTGCATGACAAACACTGGGGCATCAGTGCATGATAAACACTTGGGCATGAGTGCAGGATAAACACTGGGGCATTAGTGCATGATAAACACTGGGGCATTAGTGCATGACAAACACTGGGGCATTAGTGCATGATAAACACTGGAGCATGAGTGCATGATAAACACTGGAGCATTAGTGCATGACAAACACTGGAGCATTAGTGCATGACAAACACTGGGGCATTAGTGCATGACAAACACTGGGGCATTAGTGCATGATAAACACTTGGGCATGAGTGCAGGATAAACACTGGGGCATTAGTGCATGATAAACACTGGTGCATGAGTGCAGGATAAACACTGGGGCATTAGTGCATGATAAACACTTGGACATTAGTGCATGATAAACACTTGGACATTAGTGCATGATAAACAATGAGGAAGATGGTCAGTAACTACAGATCAATGCAATTATTTCCAACTGAAGTGTTGTTTCCACCTGAGTTATTGTCATTTAAAGTTTTAAATGTAGTATCAAGTATTGATCAGCGTGTGTTAATGGAATATCAAGTATTGATCAACGTATGTTCATGGAATATCAAGTATTGATCAACGTGTGTTCATGGAATATTAAGTATTGATCAAAGTTTTTTTTTTTAAATATGAAAACTATTTCATGATCAGATTGTTGATTGCTGCCATAGCGCAAATGTGTAGGATATATCACACCTCGAATTCTGTGATAAGTAATTTTCTATGATTACTTTTTGTTTAAACCACTCAAAGACTTTTGATGTAAGATGAAATTCAATATTTATCAAAGCACCCTTTTACACAGAGTTATACCGGGTACGAAATTATGTAGCTTGTTTAATGTGCCAATCTTTCAATTGTAAAAAAAAACAACTTTATGTTCCTTTGGGCTCACCCTTCCCGAAAAACAACAAGAAAATATATGTAATAGTCTTTAGTCTTTACTGATGACAAAACGATGGAATGAAGGTTACGGCTTGCAACCAAATTCTGCAGACAAAACATAATAAAATCTGCAAATGACAACTTGGATCATATAACATTGACTCGGGGCTTATCATGAAATTATACATGCTTTCTTTCAGTAATGGCCGCCATAAGTGTCGGCGATCTCAAATATTCATAGACCAGACCAGGTATTGTTTTTTTTTTGTGTGTAGCTGTAACGGGGTTGTGGTCGGTGTGTTATCTGTAGTAACTCTGTCTAGACTCAATGTCATGTCAGTGTGCATTCCAGTCATCTTCTCTAGACCTTTGTAGAGAGATATTCACTGGACACATAATTTAACTATCATACAAGGTATCTGTGTCACATAATTTAACTGTCATACAAGGTATCTGTGTCACATAATTTAACTGTCATACAAGGTATAATCTGTGTCACAGCAAGACATCTGGTTCCACTAAATTTTGTGAATTCATTTATTTATTCAATTTATTGCTTATCTGGTCAATTTGTTTCTCCCAACGACCACTCAAAAAGCCTGACAACTTCCCCTTGGGCTCTAATCTAGGGTGACCAAATCATCAACTCAACTGGAAAATCGGGACACTTTCAAGGACGGTTGTTTTTTTTTTGGGGGGGGGGAATACCCTCCAGCTAAAATCTAACCTGGAAATCTACTTGGGGCACTCGGTCTTTTCCTATGTTTAACTGATGTGATGTGTTGTTTTATATCTGAAGTTCCACCATGACCAATACTAAAAAGACTAGTACAGACTGTGCACTCGGCTTCACTTTCATGGCGTCCCTTTTTAATATAGTTCCACTCTTTGGAATACTCCTCCATTATTTACATTGACGCTTGGGCATAATTATTGTCTACATGAGAAGATAATATAAAGTTAAAGAATAAAGTTCAACACCCAAATCAAACACCTGTCACTCTGACACGAACAGGCCGACAGGGATCACACACAAGACTAACACATCGCACGTTGCGGTAGCGGAATCAAAATTGGTTTCTGTGCAGTTACATCCTCCCCCCTCCCCCACCCCCTGCGGCTTCAAGTCTCGTGTCTTTCGCTATACATTTACATGTAAGATCTATGGCAGGGACACTGTGGTGAAGGGGGAACACTGCAGCCATCACGCGAGCCAACATCACTACTGGCCAAATTATTACTTAAAGTTATATTATAAATTAGGAAGTTTTAGTGATTTGAAAATGTGTTTGGTTTAAAAAACGGGACATTTAGGCGTCCCAAGAGACACTTTCGGGACAACGGGTACGATCGTGAAAAAACTGGACAATCCCGTTTTTACGGGACGTTTGGTCACCCTACTCTAATCGTCAGTACAATGATAGTTTCCTTGGCTCGAGCTAACCGGCTGGATTCATTGTGTACAATAGTTAGTATGTTGTAGATATGTTCACTGCCTGCTCTGTTCATGTTATAGTTGCATGCCATAGATGTAGATGTCAATTTAAAAATAGAAATGAACATTTCAAATCTTATCGCGTTATTCCTCTTTCAGTCGGTAAAGGATTGCATAGAAATAATAAATAAAGCATACACATTTCTCCTATTTTGTTTGATCATTTTTTTTTTCGGTAAATACATTTTTATCAGAATAACCATTTTTTGTCAGTATTCCTACGACTACGTCACGGAGTTTTTACCCTTATCACATACGGTGCATGTGTTTGACCGTTGTTTCTATTAAGTTATTACAATTGAAACGCGTGTCTTGTCTTATCGTGTAGATTCTCCTTAAAAAGATATTTTCCCTTTAAATCATATCATTTCTGTTTAGTACAACTAATATAGTATATAATTAATTTTAAAAAATTTTTAAACATCGTCAATATGAAGGAGCTCCCACGGCATGTTGGAACCCCACTCCCACTGAAAGTATATTAATACCATAAATTACAAACCGGTATGGTCTATGAAGAACAATGACTAAATCAGTACTACTAAAATTAACTTATTCATTAATTAGTATCTAGGAAACTTTCAGACATTATTAAGATAACATGTAAGTATGTGAGTCCTCTGGTTTTAATGACATGACTTTTTCTCCAGCTCAGTCTTCCCTCCATGACACAAAGGCTGTCCCCCCCCCCACCCCAACCCACACCGACGGTCATGCCTGATAGACTGACATTCCCCCCCCCAAAAAAAAATAAGTATACTGCAACTTTGGTTGATAATTAGTATCTAGGAAACTTTCAGACATTATTAAGATAACATGTAAGTATGTGAGTCCTCTGGTTTTAATGACATGACTTTTTCTCCAGCTCCGTCTTCCCTCCATGACACAAAGGCTGTCCCCCCCCCCACCCCAACCCACACCGACGGTCATGCCTGATAGACTGACATTCCCCCCCCCAAAAAAAAATAAGTATACTGCAACTTTGGTTGTGCTATCATAGCTGTTACCTGTATTATATCTTAGCTATTCTTAAATGTCGTCATGTTATAGTTAGTTCATGACACATGACAGCTATATTATTGCACACAGCACGGAACCTGTACAGGTACAAGGGGATTATCTAAACTGGAGCCCGCTTGTCAGTTATTTCCCTTGTAATATCCTGCCTGGTTGGGTTGTCACCCTTTCTGGTGGGTTGATGCTATATTTAGCCACACACACACAGTTGTGCGATAATGTGATACAGTTTACGGATCATAATACCAACATGTTCAGTAGAAAGGTAAAAGTTGCTGTATTCAGTTTAGTTTAGCTGGCGAAGGAAGCACAATATCAACATGTTCAGTAGAAAGGTAAGAGTTGTTGTACAGATGTTAATTACTAAGTTTCAAGGACCAATGAACCTTCCATACAAAAGTTTATAGAAGAGGTAGATAATATGGCATTATGGTTGATGTCAAAACTATACTGGCTTTAACTCTGTCTTATGTCTAGGGTAGATGTTATGTAAACACTGGTGTATCTATTTCAGGAGCTTGACTGAATTTGTTCACTTCTCTCAATGTACACTTGTCTGAAAGTACACTTGCCTCAATTTATACTTTTCTCAATGTACACTTGTCTCAACGTAAACTTGTCTCAGTGTACACTTGTCACAATGTACACTTGTCTCAAATTAAACTTGTCTAAGTGTACACATGTGAAATGTACACTTGTCACAATGTACACATGTCCTTATGTACACTTGTCTCGAAGTAAACTTGTCTCAATGTACACTTGTCTCAGTGTATACCTGTCTAATGATAGCCCCATATAAAATTCACTAAATATTTGTTCAATTTTCTCCATGATCTCATCTATGTATTAGACATTCTATGCAGGTTAGATCTAGTTAACTAGCTGAATACTGCTACCTTCAGACATTCTATGCAGGTTAGATCTAGTTAACTAGCTGAATACTGCTACCTTCAGACATTTTATGCAGGTTAGATCTAGTTAACGAGCTGAATACTGCTACCATCAGACATTCTATGCAGGTTAGATCTAGTTAACTAGCTGAATACTGCTACCATCAGACATTCTATGCAGGTTAGATCTAGTTAACTAGCTGAATGCTGCTACCATCAGACATTCTATGCAGGTTAGATCTAGTTAACTAGCTGAATACTGCTACCATCAGACATTCTATGCAGGTTAGATCTAGTTAACTAGCTGAATACTGCTACCATCAGACATTCTATGCAGGTTAGATCTAGTTAACTAGCTGAATGCTGCTACCATCAGACATTCTATGCAGGTTAGATCTAGTTAACTAGCTGAATGCTGCTACCATCAGACATTCTATGCAGGTTAGATCTAGTTAACGAGCTGAATGCTGCTACCATCAGACATTCTATGCAGGTTAGATCTAGTTAACTAGCTGAATACTGCTACCATCAGACATTCTATGCAGGTTAGATCTAGTTAACTAGCTGAATGCTGCTACCATCAGACATTCTATGCAGGTTAGATCTAGTTAACTAGCTGAATGCTGCTACCTTCAGACATTCTATGCAGGTTAGATCTAGTCAACTAGCTGAATGCTGTTGCTGTGTAGCTTTCTTTGATAATACCAACCCACCATTGTAAGGGTTTGTAAGCATAAGGCATTTTCTATATATTTAGAGTTGACTAGATTCTATTACACTTATTAGATCAAATATGTTCACCAACTTGAAGAAGCTTCCTGGTTGCTTTGTCCTCCAGATTTGACCCAAGGCTTTGCACCTCGTAAATCTAATGTGCACTTTTAAAATGTATCTGGGCAGAAGTGGAATATCTTTCTTGTAATTTGTGTCCCTGCATAAGCCGAGTTCCCACTGAACTACATACTTGGTGTAAAATGTAGGAGTTCCCACTGAACTACATACATGGTGTAAAGTGTAGGAGTTCCCACTGAACTACATACATGGTGTAAAGTGTTGGAGTTCCCACTGAACTACATACATGGTGTAAAGTGTAGGAGTTCCCACTGAACTACATACATGGTGTAAAGTGCTGGAGTTCCCATTATACATACTTGGTGTAAAGTATAGGAGTTCCCACTGAACTACATACATGGTGTAAAGTGCTGGAGTTCCCATTATACATACATGGTGTAAAGTGTAGGAGTTCCCACTGAACTACATACATGGTGTAAAGTGCTGGAGTTCCCATTATACATACTTGGTGTAAAGTATAGGAGTTCCCACTGAACTACATACATGGTGTAAAGTGCTGGAGTTCCCATTATACATACTTGGTGTAAAGTATAGGAGTTCCCACTGAACTACATACTTAGTGTAAAGTGCTGGAGTTCCCATTATACATACATGGTGTAAAGTGTAGGAGTTCCCACTGAACTACATACATGGTGTAAAGTGCTGGAGTTCCCATTATACATACTTGGTGTAAAGTGTAGGAGTTCCCACTGAACTACATACATGGTGTAAAGTGTAGGAGTTCCCACTGAACTACATACATGGTGTAAAGTGCTGGAGTTCCCATTATACATACTTAGTGTAAAGTATAGGAGTTCCCACTGAACTACATACTTAGTGTAAAGTGTAGGAGTTCCCACTGAACTACATACATGGTGTAAAGTGTAGGAGTTCCCACTGAACTACATACATGGTGTAAAGTGCTGGAGTTCCCATTATACATACTTAGTGTAAAGTATAGGAGTTCCCACTGAACTACATACTTAGTGTAAAGTATAGGAGTTCCCACTGAACTACATACTTAGTGTAAAGTATAGGAGTTTCTACTTGGTGTCAAGTGTAGTCCCCAAAGAACTTGTTCTATGATGCATGAAACATAATTACAGTGTGAACTGACACGTGACCAGCTGGTGAAGTTACTAAATAGAGATTTACAAACTAATTTTATGTCTTGTCATTAGTATAAGCTTAACTCATAACTCCTGTTAATGTTTTTTTTTTGATTTTTTTATTGATAGTTTCTGGCAGACATAGTGCCAGTTACAATCTTCATTATTGACTATGGTAAGACAGATTTTACGATTGCAGTCTCAACTTCACAGCTGTCTGTAACACATATAAGGGTCAGCCTCAGAGCTATGCATAGCGTATCATTTTGGTCAGCCTCACAGCTGTCCATAGCATATCATGTTGGTCAGCCTCACAGCTGTCCCTGTCATATTATCTTGGTCAGTGTCATTGCATGTTCCCTGGACAATTTTGTTTGTACCTGTCCCAACCCTCTTGTTACTAGATCTTTTTAGAATTTCTTTTTCTTTTTTTTCATTTTTCCGGTTTGATGAAACAGGCTCTTAGCCAAAGCTTTCTTCTCTCATGTCCTGTCTTTCTATTTCAAGCTTCCAATTACCTTTTTTCTAATATTTCCTTCACACAACTTGAATGCAATCCTTTATTTATTATCAATTTTGTTTATCTATAAGTTTTTTGAAAACCTTCAAAATCAAAAGTAAAAAAAAATTAAGAAGTGGATTTAACTTTGACTGACAGACTGCCACAGAGTGATTTACTTTAAATTTAAGCCTATCACACTAACAATAGTTTACTAACAAGCAAAAGTTTTTTAACAATATTTTTCTATTGATATAAAGATATTTATCTTTTCAAAAAGGAAATGAATATTTTTTATCACACCTGTCATCTAATGGGTGTGTTCAATTAATTATTCTTTCAAATTCTTTGCGAGTCACAGAAATATTGTAGTGCGAAATTATTTGTACTGAGGTCCCGCCTGTGAACAAACCAATACTAAAATATAAAATGGATTGTAATACTGAATCATTATGCAGTTGGCATAAAACAGTGTTGGCCTGTCTAGCACAGTGTCACCCTGTCCTTGTAGTCTGACAAATAGATTGTATCTACTTTCTCTATTTTATCATCATCATCAAATAAATATAATTCTCTATGAATGAAACAAAGTATGATGTAATATCATCATCATCAAATAAATATAATTCTCTATGAATGAAACAAAGTATGATGTAATGGTGAGTTCAATAGTGTTCCATAACTGCGCTAAATGAGATTCTTAAAAAATGCCTCAAGTGTGTTAATATTTTCTTTTGTTTTATGGACGTACTCCCAATTAAATATGATTATAAATCTGGGATGTAGGAGGGGGTGGGAAATGAGAATTTTAATATAGTTCAGGGTCTTGAAAAAAAAGTGTGCTACATACCTAAGGGGTAGAACTAATTGGGTGTGTTACAATAAAGTGTATTACTTGAATGCATGTTTTGTTAAGTAACTTTTAGTAGATGGGAAGTTCATGCATTGCCGCATCCATTGTTTAGCGGGCTATTACTAGTTAAAATGTAAACTAAATTTAACTAAAAAATAAACTATGATTAACTTTATATCACTTATGTCCATTAAAATGCCATGTAGATAAATTATGTAGTAGTCACTCAAAATCTCAATTTATTTTTTATATTTTTTTCATCCAGTCAAAATCCAAAAAGCTTGGACCCCTAAAAGCACTTCCAAATTCCATTGGGGCAGACAATGTCATGATGGGACAACCTGGCAAGTCAGGAAAACAGGCCAAGTCATCTGGTCAACAAAAGCAAGGGTCATATAAAACAAAAGATGACATCGCCATGGGTCAAATGAGAGAAAAATTGCAGGCAAACCCTTACGCCACCATCAAAATGTGGCGTCCAGTCTCCATGACCAGCAACAGTTTAGCCAGGTACCCCGTGGAGGATAACTACCAATCATTCTCAAATTTTGATGCTCTCCGTCAAACGTTGGAAGCTGAGATGGGCTCATTAGGACAACAAGGACATCATTCATCTTTGATGGATCAAACACCCTCTGGCTACAACAGGACACAGGACAGACTCTCAGAAGACGCCCACTGGCAAGAAGCAAGTAGTTCCCCTGGCCAAGACCATGACCTCAACACAAACAGACTCTCACAGAGTCCTTTCAACTGGGTCACTGACTCTGACTCACCAGATTCCAGAGAGTTCATTGAAATTCCAGAGGATTATTCGAGAGACAACTCCCCATCACCAATACCAAGGAAGAACAGTTCTCCCTCCCCTGTACCCAATAATGACAGTGTCTTGTTGAATCATTCAGTCAGTGGGAGCTTACGTACTAAACAGTTTGAGGCACCCCTCCCTCCCCCTCCACCACATGCAACCAAAGGTTTCACACCTCCAGATCTCCCTTCCACATCCAAAAATGACCCAAGTTATGAAGTGGTCAGCGATGGGGTCAGTAAAGCCATCAAACAAGTCCTGTCCCACAGATACACAGTTGGTGACAACGAGGACTTGGCCAACAGAGACGTGGAGAGACTGCTGGAAGACCTCAAGCTGACCATGGACTCTATAAGAACATCTCGTATTGACAAAAACCCAGCTCAGCTGTCCATGTGTGTCTCAGAACTCCACTCTCAAACCAATCAGTTCATTAATCATGCCAAGCTTGTTGTCGGCAGTGCCAACAGTAGCAGAGAAAAGATGGTGGCCCAGCTTGAGTCGGCCATCCACACACTGGCCTGCCTGTTCCTCCATGGCCAGGCCACTATGTTGTTGGTCAAGTCATCCGACCTGGCTCACAGCCTAGGCTTTCAGCTCATCAAGGCAGCTAATGCCTTCAAGTCAACCGTGATGTCGGCCAACACAGCGGTTGGCAAGCCCATTGACGACCCTGACATGAAGTACCTCATGCGGCAGGCCACAAACCTGGCGGGACTTTTACGTTCCTTGTTAACCACCATCAAGGAGATCAAATCAGGGTCATGAAGGGCGCCACCCTCAACACCTCAAGACAGATAACTCTCTACAAGTGTTGTTGGATCATTTCTGCTGTTCATTCTATGCCTGGGTGCTGCATATCAAGACTTGCTCAAAATGATGAATGTTATTTGAAATTTATGCAAGCTTCTTGCGTGAAAGTTTGAAAGTATTGCTTGAACATTCAATACTTCTGACTAGCCTGAAGCATGTAATCAAATCTGAATTCTACTCACCATTTTAGCACTGAAATTGAATGTTGTTTGTGATATATGGGGCCGTGGAATACTTACAACTTCATCAGGTACTTCAAGTTTTCAATTTCTACTTTTGTTGATACATAACACGATTTAAGAACTCCATCCAACATTTCCTTTTTTTTAAAAGAGAACTGTTTGAAAGCTGCTTCTGGTCTCTGAATAAGACATATCATTCTGTGACTTTAGCACAAGATTTTTGGTGATACTAATTGAACTTAATTTTAATCAGTGGTTGGCTGATAAAGTCAGTGTGCATTTCTATAACGCAATTGTCAGAGCTTGTCAGCTGGATATTAAAAATGTGTGGGACTGAGCTAACAGACTAGAAAATTAAGTTTTAGGTCAACTGTTGGATGTGAAACAGGATGTATTGCTTTACTACCTTAACTATTCACTTCATCATGGCCCATGCTTAATTTGGCTTTCAGACATCATAAATAGAAATGCTGTCATACACAAAACAGCCTGGAAAAAAGCCAACATATTTATTTATTCTATGAGCAAAATTGGAATTTTATTTTTAAAAAGTTTGGACCTTTCATTCTCATAATTATGGCATCATTGCTCCAGTTCTTCACTGTGAGACATGTGTCATTATGTCAAATATTTGGAACTAATCATAAAGTGGCATGGGGGAAATTGCAAACACATTTCATCGTGATCTCATAAAAATAACAAATCTTTCAATATGTTATACAATCTGTAGGATTAAATTAGTTATGACCTGAGTGGCTGTGGTGTGAAAAAAATGATAGGCTGCCACTTCCCTTGGTTCTGAAAGAAGCTATAGAGCTAATCTATTTATTATAGATTTGTCAAAGGTGTTCATCTAGTTCTTATCACTTTTTAAAAATATTAAGTATAGCATGCCCAAAAATACCATATATTAATGCTGTTAAAAGTACTGGGACCAATTATTTAATTATCAATTGCTGCTCAGATTTAAATGAACTATTCTTGCCTGTAAAAATATGTTTGTCTTATCATTTATTGAGCAAACTGGATGGTTAATGTATGGACAAAGTTTATAAATAATTTGTTCTTAGCTGTTCCTGATTTTATTTACAATCGCCCCTGTTTTTATCAAAAAGTGTGGTCCCAGTAGCATTAAACCCTTTGTTGTCTTTTGGATTCATGCAAATCTGACATGCTTGTTCGTGTACCCTACACCTAAAGGCTTTACATGTTTGACTGTTGATACATTTATGGTGATATTTAAAAAAAAAAAAAAAAAAAAAAAAATAAATTAAAAAACTAAAAAAAAAAGCATTAAACCCTTTGGTGTCTTTTGGATTCATGCAAATCTGACATGCTTGTTCGTGTACCCTAAACCTAAAGGCTTTACATGTTTGACTGTTGATACATTTATGGTGATATTTAAAAAAAAAAAAAAAAAAAATGACACTAAATCAAAAAGCTTATGTAAAGGTCTTCCGAAGAATATTGAATTCATTCTTTTGTCACTTGCAGCAAAACTGCTGATGAACTCAATTTAAACAAGCTGTTTCCTTTTTTTAAAGAATGCTTTATCGGTGCAGACCAAGCAAAGAGAAAGATATAGATGAATTGCTGTTGGAAAATTTTTTATTTGCTATAAAATACAAATTTTGCTTATATCTAATTTTAGTTTTATATCTGTAATAAGGTGAAGGGGCAAGCTTTGCTAATTACCAGGTACCATGATCAAGTCGCTCATTTCATTTTCTGTATTATCTGACACTGGCTAAAGGTTGTAGATGAAATGATGGGGAGTGGAACAAATGCCCACCCAGAGGTTTAAATATATAGTAAATTAAGTGATCTGGTGACCAATATTAACAGCAATCATAAAATAATGTCAAGTTCTCAAAGAGGATTGTCTGTATTCATTGGGAAAGTAAAGGACAAAGGATTAGAATTGAGGACTATGTTCACAAAACCCTACCTATTGCCTTGGATCTGCTACTTGACATGTTATAATTTTTTACTTTGGTTCCTTACCAGAAGACCTATTTTTGATGTAAGAGTCCCAGAATACTATTGAAAATGATGCCACACGTTTTAACCAGGGTTTCCAACCATCTATAAAATGTCTTGTCCATAAACTTTCATATGTCCGTAAAAAATTAGACATTTTACACATTTTTTTTTTTAAGCGGATCAAAAAGTAATAGTTTAAAATACAATAAAATAATGTTATAAAATAGGCTCAGGTCTCATGATCATATAACAGTCATATTTGAATTTTTTTTAGCTTGGTAAGTCTGTTTTAAAATTTTATACCTAAATATTTCTTTTTACCTGTAAAAATTTGCAGATTTTGAATATTTGTCAAGAAATTGTATTATTCTCAGTTGGCAACCCTTAATTTAACACTATTAAAGATTTAAAAAATGGGACCTCTCACAGCCAATGAATATCAAAAATAAATCCAAACACCATTTATTATTTCTTTAAAATGGTGGTAAGTCTTTTTAGGTTCAAGAGTACATAAAAAATTCTCTGTGATGCTAATATATAAATTTCACATTTCACAAAGCAAGAGATCCCACTGTATTTTATAAATTTATGTTATCATCATTTTTTTGTGGTGAGCGGATAATGTAATAGTTGTTTGTACCATAATATTTATTTAATGGTGGAGTGTATTCAAATTTGATTGTTTTACAACCATGATTCTTATTTTTTCTCTATACAAGATGAAGTAGCCAAAATAGTTCTTAATCAATTTATATATATCATATTCTTGTAAAAATATATATACAACTATATACCATGTAACCCCATGCATTTATAAACCTACCTGTGCTGAATATTAATTAATTTATTGTTTATGAGATGTGAGGCTATGAACAGTCAGGTGATACCAGTAAACCATTATTAACTGTCCGGTGATACCAGTTAACCATTATTTTATTGTGATATTTGAAACATTCATTGGAATGAAAATATAAAAGGTTATAAGTAATGTGTATTGACAATAGCTTACAGTGTTTATAGTAATTTATAGACTAAATATGCAGTCATGTACTTCTGATAATTGATTGTTGAGAGAGCACAGTGGGATTGAGCAAAGTATAGTTGATATGTTAACTTAACATCTCCGGGCAGTTTCTTGACCTTATGACAGCCACAACTAAACCTCTCCTCCAAGAGGGTTCCACAATATACATGGGAAGACATCGATGAAACAATGTCTAATACCCAAACATGTTTGTAAACCAATAACCATTTGAACTCAGATGAAGGGTTACATGTGAGTCAAACAACGAGTCAAATACCTACTAATACTAATTGTTGAAATACCTACTAATACTAATTGTTTTATGCAGCTTGAAAACTCCACCTAATTTTGTGAAAATATTTTTGATCTGAAAGACCTGTAGTCATTTTCTGTTACTTTACTTGTTTTAAAATATAAATCTATGCAGCAGTGGTTCTCATTTTAAGTACAAATCTGCCACCTCACTGTTTATACTGATTTAGAACTATTGAAATCACAAAGAGACATTTGATTAGAGGTCTTAAAAAAAGAAAGTGAACTGATATTGTGTATTATTGTTTAGACCAAAAAGAGTACATGTACTAAAAGAGCATCATTGTTTGGAAATCAATGATGTACCTAGTTAAATATCAGACCTAATAAGTTCAAAACAATTAAAGAACATGTGTTGCATTATTTATTGATGAGTTGTGTCAAGCACAAGATCATATTATCTTCATCTGTTCAGTCAATCGGTGAATTTTTGCTCCGTCTCACCTCTTAGAAACACTATTAAAGGTTCTATGATAGAACATATTATTCCAGTTCATTTGCTTCTAAAGAAGCATTTGGAAACATTTTTTTAAAACTACTGAGTGATGGCAACATGGATAAGACAAGAAGTGGGAAAGGAGAGCTTTGCGCACCTTTTATCCCTGTACCCAAAACTGTGATGTTTCTGAGGGTCATAACTATTGTTTGAGTCACTTAAGTAAGGCTTCGGTCATTGAGTTATATGCTGGAAACATTTTGTGTATCTGAATGTAAAGTTAATTTATTATTATTCTACATTAGTTATAGTAAAATATTCTATTATCAAATTATACTAAAATATCTATTGTGAATTGAGGTGATGGTAAAATAATCAAGTCACATATTTCTAAATGCCAACTCCCCATCAACATATCTTGATATGATGCCATAGAGCACTTGTCATCAGAAAGGTTCCAAATTGAAAATTGTTTTATCCATCATACCAATTTATAGTGGAAGGCCCAAGTGTAGATATTCAAAATATATTCAACCGATCATTTCAAACCTTTCATCTACTTAAAATGAATGGTTATGAAATATATGTAGTTGATACAAATTCACATGGTCCTTCTTGCCTCTTTTTCTAGACACGCATTATCTTTCAATTTTAAATTAGAGATACACAACTATACATCTCTTGTCTAGAACTACATTCTTTTAACTTAGAACTACACCATAAAAACAACTTTAAAGTTTGATCTCTTGTGGCTATAGATTGACATGGTGATCTTTCTTAGAGCAGGTTTAACAATAAAATGCATAGATTGCTTAAGCCCCATCAACACCTGTCCAATGTTAGTGTAATCCTCTGTGACTAATGATCTAATAACAAGGAAGATACAGGATTGTGTACTGGGTTAACTATCATCGTGTTGTGGGGACATAACCTCCATGTAAGATGTGATGACTTGGAAGATGTGATGACTTGAAGGATGTATGCATAATAAACAGAATATTAACCATAATTCCTTTAACTCAACAAATAAACTTGCATTGCATTATGATTATAATTCTAATGGCTTCTCACTCTCTGTATCACTAATTATATTTGTAACTGTGATTTCAAAAATTTGAGATAATATTGAATG